TCTCTTGCTTGTCGTTGTACCAATGCAGCACCATAAAACTGGAATTCATTTAGAAAGTTGCACGAGTGGCACAACTGTCCAGTTTCCTGACTCAGCAGAGTGTGTGAGACTCTCTCTACTCTTAGATCCTCTCCCCTAGGAGCACATGAGGATAATAACAGAACCTAACAATAAACCCAATAACAGTACAACAATCACCACCAAAGACAGGCGGAAGCGAGAACTCTTTCAGTAAATGGACGCCTATGGAATGTATACCGAATATCTATACTTCATAGCATAAACTGAAAGATTGGAAGGTGTAAAGGCAGGGAGGACAACTGTAGATACTAGAGATAGTATAGAAGGGCATGGGTAATAGGGGATGTGAGGGAGCGGATCGGGAAAAAAAAACAAAGCATTTAATAGACACAAAAGTGAAGTTATCTGGGGAACCAGCAGTTAGCGCAATGGCTATGTCGCTGGACTCCCACGTAGTCGACCGCAGTTGGCATCCCAGACCCGGTGGCTTAAAACTCACGCGGGGCACATGTGCGTGCGTGGCCAAGATCCCACGAGGAGAATGGAGGAGAAGGGATTGCGGCGTGACCATCCCCCCTGGGGGGTGATTTCTCGCTTTCTGTCTCTATGTCTCTCTCAGTCTGTCTTGCGCCCTATAGCGAAAAAACCTCTCCAAAAAAAAAGTGAAGTTATCTGTTGGTGATATGGGGTAATGTCTTTGTCTTGACTGATATGCACTGTATTCATGCTGGGAAAAACCATGTTGTACACTGTGAAGATACAGAGTGATTAAATGCAAGTTAAACATACATATTTAATTAATCCATATAAATATATGTTACTTATATTTACTTTTATTAAATATATATTTAATTATATCTATATAAATATATGTTATTTACAGTGTGTGTGTAAAATAAAAAGGCTGCATGTGAAATGCATCTGTTGACACCTGTCATCTAATGAAGAGACAAATCCAGCTAGAAGGAGAGGCATGCTTTTCTGAGAGAGGGCTTCAATTTTAAAAGCCTCAAGATCAAAAAACGTTCTTCAGATTTGGCAAGTTTCCATCACCATAAAACAGAGAGTCTAGCAAAAACTTAGCAGCCTGTACAGCAACTACTCCAGGAAAACAGTTTTTGTTTTAAGTCCCACTTAGAAAAAGGGGATAGGATAAGGGAAATAATGACTAAACTCGGCGTGAACAAACGGGAAGGGGGTTCTATCCTCTTGGTGTTCATTCCCGGATCAAGTTTCAAGCCCTTTTCTGAAGTGCCCCCCCCACTGATATCAGGGTGAAGGGCCCCCCCCCCCATTGAGATCAGGGATAAACAAGATGAAAGGGAGAAAGCAGAGGAACAAAAGAACCTAAACCTCAAGATTCTTAGTCCTCACAGGAAACACAAACAGGATGAGTCTGTTTGATTTCACGTCCCATGGATGTGGGGAGCAGCATTAAGGAGGGTGAGTACAACAAAGGCCTGTTCTCTCTGAGTGAGCTAAATCAAGTCTACTGCACAGCTCGCAGCATGGGCTTGGAGTCACTGTGCTGTTACCTGCGGGGGGGTCCGCTTCTTTGCTCGAAAGCAGGGTTCTCTGTTGGGAGGGGCTGTGGGAATTGGGAAAGAACTTCTTCTACCACCCATTCTATCCTAGCCCACCCCAGCCTCAACAAACTCTTGCCAGTACATGGAAGGCTTCCTTTTAGTTCTTCTACAGCTGAACGGCTTGTCATCAGCTCTGCCCAAGCTTATGAGCGAATCTGACAACTGTACATCTTTTAAAGACTTTTAGAGAAAAAGTCCATGTTTCAGGTCACAGCTGCCTCTCTCATTCTTATGAGTCATTCAGAGTGCAAATGCATGTGATTGATATGAGTGACCTATATGCTTACAAAAAGGCAAGAAAATACCTGGGGGCTCTCTACTGGCTGGGTCCCACTGTGTGGTGGGGACCAAACGACTTTTCTTGACATCTCTTCTCTTGAATCAACCATCCTAACTTTTTGTTTTGTTTTGCTTTGCAAATATATCATTCTTCTAATGCTCTTTTGGAAGACAGACACATTTGAGATTCGACTGATTCTCAAGCTATGAGAAATAAATACACACACACCTTTTATATACAACTTCAGGAAATTATGGATCTGTTAAAAATCCATATATAGAACCTCCTCAGGGATCCCTGGACCTAAAGTTAACCACCCCTGCTCTAGAAGGAAAAAAACAGTTAACATTTATGGAATACTTACTATATGCCAGGAACTAGTCAAAGTGTTAGATTTTTCTCAGTTAATCATAACTACCCCATGCGGTAGCTACGAAGGCTCTCTATTTTACTGACAAGAAGAAAGCAGTGGCAGAGAACAGCACTTGCTCCAGACCACAGAGCCAGTAGGTGACAGAGCCACGGTTCAAACTCTGACTTTGGAGCCCCTCCTCTTAGCCACTAAGTCACAGCTGTGCAAGAAAATCGATAGAAATAATTTTTAAAGAATGTGACATGATTACAATCATTACACAGACCATGATCCTAGCTTTTCTCTTTTCTCTTTGTTTTCTTTCTCCCTTGCTTTCTTTTTGTGGTAGGTAGGCAGGGAGTATGTGGATAATTGGCCACTCCAGAGATCTGAGAAAAGTAGAGACGATGTGGCACTAGTTGGAGGGGAATGTCTGGCCAAGTATCTCACACCCACTACTAACTGCTGTTCGTAACACAACCCAAAACCAAAGTTAGCTGGGCCCTCTACTTGGCTTCCGAATAGACCTGTGGTATTGGCATCAGCCCTTGATCCTTGAATTCTTGATCCAGTAGCTGAGATTAATTCCAGAGTCACAAACTGAAATACCTATAGGAGCCAGGAAAGTCATGCAAATGTGAGACACAGTCAAGCATAAGGCGGTGAGGCGAGGACCATGACCGACTGGGAGGAGCATGTCCCATCTCGACATCCACATTAACAAACGCGAACCCCAGGAGGGCCCGACAGAAGGCACATTCAGCCTGTGGGCCATCAGTTTGTGACCTCTGAGTAGGTTGTTCCCATTATGCTCTCCAAATAAGTCCAAGTCAGGAGTCAAGGATGCAGAGAATGCAGTCTGTAAGCAGAGGACAAACTGGCCTATGTGATGTTCACTTCACTAAAGCCATGCTTTCACTTTGACATGCTAAGCAACTGGGCAATAGGCCACCACAGAAACAGTCCAGACACCAGAGAGGAGGAACTATCAGTAGTGACAGCATACATCACATACCTCATACATAGGGAGCATTCGAGGTCAGATGCATCAAAAGATCCAAGTGGGATACTGAGAGCAGGTTTGGTCCCCTGATCGGCGGGAGGATCTGTGACATAGAAAGCACTAAGTCAGAGCCAGACCAACTTTGGTTGCCCAAACAGCACTTTGGAGGCAAGCAAACACAATTTGTTTTTCATTTTGCCACTTTCACCACCTCCCAGAGAGTTGATTTACTTGAGCCATTGAGAATGGAGACCCTGAAGTAGGCTTAGAAGTTTTCAGCAGCTCCCCCCCGCCGACCCCCAAAAGAGAAGTGCAAGTCAGGGAATGCACAGGAGCCCTGGTGACTTCTTTCAAATACAACAGGTACCTCCCTTAACAGCAGCAGTGGCAGACACCCCCCTGGACTGAGCCAGGCCTTCAAAGCTGAGGCTGAGTGGCACTGCCCATCTCGGCAACATGTCAAGCTATGGCTGCCTATGGGAGCACAACTGGGAGTGAGTTTGTGGTCGGGCCTCACCCTGACCACAACTTCCCTCATCCTACATTCCTGAGACAGGCAGTTTGGCCTGAAGGAGATGACACTGTCATGGATATGGGCTATCATTACTTGGTACTGTGTTTGACCTTATGCCTTGGCTTTCCATTACAATTATTATGGGGCACTTGGTGTGGCAGGCATTGTGCATGATCTCACGGAAAGCTCACAGCAACCTCCAAGAGTGCACAGCTGTCAAGTGCCAGAGATGGGCCCCATGCCAGAGCCCGAGGAGCCCCCAGATGGAGGGTCAGTAACCTGCACACGCTGGCTGACCCCAGGCATCTCCTCTAAGCTATGTTCTCCCTGAGTAAAGTCTGTACCTTTCTTGGAGACTTTGTCAGGCACTGCCATGTCTTCTAGGGGTTCAATTTGGCAATGTTTCCTTTTCTTTTCCTGGCATTTACCAGTCCTGATGGAGGCAGCTTCTGGAGAGGCGGCATCCTGCTGTTCCTCCTCTTCTTCTGGGTCCTCCACGTCATCTCGTTGAGCAGCCATCCTTACTCTAGCAGAGTTCATCGGGCTGCTGCCATCTCCCCTGGCTGCTGCTTTCTCCTGACTAGAGCAATGTGGGAGCTCCAGATTTTCCTGAATGAAGGAAGAGCCGAATATCAGAATCTACCTCAGACCTACACTGTCTGCAGATAGCCCTACCCAGAGGGAATAAAGAGACAACTACCGAGCCCTGATTCCCACCCCTGATCACCTGTGGACACATAGCTCAACTGCAGGGCAGTCATGGTGGGCATTTTCCATTTCCCATCTGCATAGCATCTGTGACAAAGGCATGGCCAGCTTGGGTGGAGTTAGGAAATTTTCCTAAGGATGGACAGGAAGGATTGTAGGGAGAGCTGCTCCTTGGGCAGTAGTGAAGGGGGAAATGCAAGGGATAGCACCAGCCCCCCCATCCAATCCAGCAACCACGTTAGGGAAATAAGACATGCAGTGGGGGGAGATCCTGTCACTCGACCCTTCTTTCACCCTCAGAGGCATCTATAGCCATCTACGATCTCCTAATTCCAGCTCCAAAAGGACTTCTGGGAAGTCCTTGGCCCAGGTCTGTTCACAGGCCTCCCCTATCACCTTATGTTCCACAGCTAGACATTATACTGATCCAGTGAACAGGGGACAAGCTGTTCCTCTTACTAGATTTTTGGATGAGAAGTCTGAAAAGCAGACAAAATCACTTGGCAAAACTATTAATAATGCCTCTAGTCTTTTATAGATATTTTTTTCCAGGAAAGGGATATTGGAAAATGGATGTAGAAATAAATCCAATGACAACTCGTTTATGCAGATTTAACTAGAGTAACCTAAATGAAAACTTACGTCTTGTTGTTTCCCCTCCAAAGCCTCCCCACCAAAACACTGATAGACAGATGAAAAAAAGGGAGCACACGATTGGAGGAAATCAATGAGGTGAAAGAAAAAAGACGTCAGTTTTTCTCAGTCTCTAGACTGAGGAGTTCAGGTTTTTCCCAGCATGATAGCAAAAACCTACAACCTCGACTTTCCATGAGCCTAAAGCACCGTCCACACAGGAGTACACTCCTTTGTGAAGCCAATTTGGGGTGGAAATCCAATCCCTGTTGCCTAGCTGTCTCACACTGGAAAGCCAGGATGCAAGTTTTTCTTCGTCTCAGACAAAACTGCAATTAAAAGTCACTCCAGACACTCCAGTTCAGTATTAGCTTTCTCGATCACGTCATCATGATTTCGAACACTTACTGAAATCATTAGAAGCCCTCTGACTTCAGGAGACAAGAGATACTCTAAGTTCTGCCTTTTTTTTTTTTAAGTTGGGCCTATCTCACAGAAGGAAGAGAAGCTGGGCAAATACGAGAGCTCAGGGCCTACTATACAGGGAAGGAATATCCAGC